CTGGGGCGGCGGCGCGGCGAAGCGGCGCTGCAGCCATGGCGGGAGGCGCGCGGCTGCTTTGGGTGTCGCTATTGGCGCTGCTGGCTCTGCTCTGGCCGAAGCCCGGGCTGGGGCGGCCACGAGAACGCCTTCGCGTGCGCTTCACCCCGGCCGTATGCGGCCTGCGCTGCGTCCATGGGCCCACCGGCTCCCGCTGTACCCCGACCTGCGCGCCCCGCAACACCACCAGCGTGGACAGCGGCGCGCCCGGCGGGGCGGCCCCGGGGGGACCCGGCTTCCGCGCCTGTGAGTGCGGGGAAGTGGTCCCAAGGGAGGGAGTCCCGAGGGAGGAGGATCCCCGGGTATGGCGCAGAAGTCCCCCAGGGAGAGGGAACCTAGCTAGATTCCAAGTTCAAGAGTGATGGGGAATCCTTGGGGTACTCGGCGAGCTGACCCCAAACTCCTGGGTTGTAGTTTTGCAAGCAATGAGGGCTCTTGGGGACCTGTGGCGTTCCACGTGAGGGGAATAGCTTTTATGCCTGTGACTCAAGATGGGAATATGAGAATTGAGGGGCTTAGGAGCATTTGGGGGAGCTGAATTCTGGGCTGACAGAATCTCGGGGACCGAGGGAAACTTTTAGGGCCCATGGGGGAAGGGTGTCTGCATCTTACGGTGGGAGGAATTGGGGACATTAAGAATGGGAGTGCCTGTAAAGCGGCAGATTGGGACAAGGAAAGTTGATCCTCAAAGCTGGGAAGAAAAAGGCCCCGAAAGGGGGTTGTCTCTGCAGGACCCTGAATTGCAAGGATCCCCCACGCTAGAGAACTCCAGATAGGAGAGCTAGGGGTAAGGGCGACCCCTGGGAGGAAAGAGACGGGGAAAAAGGCAAATTCCAAGTAAGCTGGGAGATGGAAAAACTCCAGGGGTTCAGGTGAGGTTGGGAAGGTGAGTCACCTGTTGACCCTGATGCAGGGGCCTACGGTCTCTCCAGGGTCGGGATCTCCCTGCACGCACCTTCAGGCCTTTAAAAGTAGGGAGTGGGGGCCCCTGGCGCCGAAAACTCACTCAGCCTGGCCCCCCGCCAGCCCAGCCGGGGCCGGCGTGAGCTCATCTCCCGCCTGAGCCCCGCCCGCGGCCACTCCCTCTCTCCGCCCCTTCCTCCCTCCCCCCTCCACTCCTCTGCCCAGCCCCAACGCGCCCGCGCCCGTGCCAGGCACCATGCCCAGACGGGTGCCAGGCCTCTGGAGGCTCAAGGAGGGGAATGGAGGGGGGACTGACCTTGGCGGAACCCCGATGTCCTCAGCTCCCTGCTCGTCCAGGGTCTTGGGGACCAGAATTGGCTATGAGGCCCACCAAAGGGTGTGGGCACCCCAGGGAGCTGGACTGGATACCTGCATTCAGGCCAAGAGTAGGTAGAGTAATGCCCCCCAAGTCTGGCTGGGTCTCCAAGACCCCCAGCAGAGACCAGCCTCCATTTGAAATCTTGATTGTGGATCAGCTCTTGGGCCCTATTTCTTAACTAAGGATCTCTGTTAGAGCACCCGAGTCCTAGCCTGACTCCCTGAGCTAGGCAAACCCAGAGCCTCAGCCTCCAGACCCCTAGGTCCTCTCTCCACCTCTATCAACAGACTCTAGAGACCAGCTGCGCCAGTAAAGTTTCCCTCTCATTCTTCTAAGTTAAGCCCCCAAATTGTGCCTCTCACCACAGAACCTTGCAATCCTGTCCATCCTTCCCCACTCCAGAAGAAATCTCAGATTATGAGCCTGCACATTGCTCACAGCACTCGTCAGCTCAGCTGAATGCTTGCCCCACAAGGCCCGCATTTTCTTATCCCAGCCGAGCCCACCAGTTTATTCATAGATTCTGCTTCTCTTTCAGCTCCCCAAGGAACCTCAATATCCTTCATTCTTCCCAGCCAATTGAGGCATTCTTAGTCAACTCTGTCCTCCGCATCCTCAAACTCGCTCTCTCTTAGCAGGCACTAAAGTTTTCAAGGTAACTTGCCCCAAAGGACTTTGTCTTATAAGGTTGCCTCTGTTTCCTCCAGGCTAGGCTTCTCCATTCCAGAAACCTTGAGCCTTCTTTGAAACCTAGAATGCTGCCTTGTCTAACTGCATGTCCTTCTGTCCTCTTCTAAGTGGAGGGGGCTCCCACCATGCTTTTCTCTCAGTCCCCTACACGCCTCCCTAGACGGCCCCAGCCTCCTGGCCCCTCTTTCCCCTCCGCGCAGCTGTCTCCAGCTGTTTTCCAGCAGCCCCAGGGGAAAGAGGGAGGGGGTACCCTCACAGGGCACGTACGGCCTTCTTGGCTCTGTGGACCCTGGACTCCCCAAGGGTCCGGAATGCTGAGACGCCGCCCTACCCCCGCCGCACCCCTCTCTTTGTTTACCCCGCCGGACAGCTGGCAGGGCCCAGCCTGGAGATGGCCAGGGGCCCAACTAGAGCGCGCAAAGGGGCGAGGAAGCGCGTTCCCGCTCTAGGACCCGCCCCACGGCTACCGGCGCCTAGAAGGCGGGGCTAGAAATCCGAAGGTCCAGCCAGCGTGAAGATAGGTGGGGACAAATCGCGGTGGGCGGAGCCAGGACTCCTTTAGCGCCCCGAGGTGTGGCGGTGTGGGACGCGAATAAGCAAGCCTGGGCGAATCAGGGTGAGGGAAGGAGCTAGGGCGGGGCTAAAGGATTTCCTTGATAGGCGGAGTTTAGGATCTCACAGAAGGTAAATTGGACAGGGCGAGGAGGGGCTGTAGCTAGTAGGCGGGGCTGGAACTCCGAGGACTCGGCCAAGAAGGGGTGTGGGCGAGCCTATAATGCTCGAGAGTGGGGCATAGTGCCAGGTAGTGGTTGAAAAGTGATTGGAATCAATGGAAGGCACTGGTCCTTAGTGGGCGGGGCTGAGGCGATCTAGGGCCCCGCCAGACTACGTATGGGTGGGGCTAAGAGGCTAAAGCAATAATGGTTGAAGTAGGTGCGACTGCATTAATGAAGCGGATCACGCTGCCTGGGCGGGGCTGGAACGCCTTGAACTGAACTAGAAAGTGGGATTGGCTAGACTTGAGCGAGGGGGCGGGGCGATATGGGAGCGAGAGCATGAGCCCTGGGGCTTGGCGAATGCAGGTAGCCAGAGTTGGAGGAAAGCCACTAGACAGAGCTGGGCACAGCATTTTACAATTGAGGTTTGGTGCTTAAGCACTCCTGCTAACCTAAAGTTCGGCAGCTCTTCTGGGGGAGAAAGATGTGACAATCTCTGTAAACATTCAAACGCAAAAATCAAATCTACTGCCTTTCAGTGCTTTATGATTCATACTAACTTCTGTAGAAAAGGACACCACCTCATCTTTCCCCTGCTAGACCATTCGAACTGCTGGCCTCAGTGTTAACAGCCAAGAGCTGAAAACTTAGAGTCACCTTCTGTAAAATAAGGAAACCCTATGGGGCAGTTCTACTCAAAATTGACCCCACAGCACACAACTCAAGTTTAGTGGTGCTGTGGTTAAGCACTTGATTACTGATAAAAAGGTTAGAAGTTCTAACCCATTCGTCTCTCCAGGGGCTAGAAAAGTGACAATCTGCTTCCATAAAAGATTAGTTGTTGTTGTTGTTGTCGTGTGCTGTTGAGTCGCTTACGACTCATAGCGACCCTATGTACAACATCCCTAAACTCTGCTCTGTCCGGTGCCAATCGCACCGTCTCCGATACACCCATCCTGATTACCCCAGTGACTGAATCAATGCACCTCATAGGGGGCCTTCCCCTTCTGCGCTGTCCCTCCACCCTACCAAGCATGATGTCCTTCTCCAAGGACCTGTCCCTCCTTGCAACATGTCCAAAGTATGTTAGATGGAGCCTTAGAATCCTTGCCTCCAAGGAGCAGCCCGGTTTGACCCTTTCCAGGATGAATCTGTTTGTTTTCCTAGCCGTCCATGGTACCCTCAATACTCTTTTCCAGCACCACAGCTCAAAGGTGTCAATTCTCCTTCTATCCTCCTTAGTCATTGTCCAACTCTCTGATGCATAACAAATTATAGCAAAGACCATGGCGTGTATCAGACGCACCTTAGTCTCCAAAGAGACACCATTGCTCTTCAGTACTTTGGAGAGGTCCCTAACAGCAGACTTTCCCATGGCTACTGGTTCCGAGAGTGTTGACTGTGGAGCCAAGCAAACTAAAGCTGTGAACAACCTCAATCTCTTCACCATCCATCCTGATACTGCCAATTTAATTTGTCCAGTGGTGAGAATCTTCGTCTTCTTGATACTGAGCCTCAATCCATATTGGAGGCTGCAGTCCTTGACCCTCTGCAGCAAGCGCTTCAGGTCCTCTTCAGTTTCAGCAAGCA